TTTAAGACTATTATTCAGTTCTCTTCTTTTGTTTTCTCAGTTTATATTAAAAAACAATGAACAGATAATTATGTAATGATCTATCATATTTAATTGCTATTCAACGTTAATTTATCAATAAAATAATAAAATAACTCTATTTTACTCTCTCCCATTAACAGTTTAATTAAGAATTTATTAAATTTCAATACTTTTATTTGTAATCATATATTTATATATTCTATGATACTACAATGACCAGAATGAATATGACAAATGAATTAATGTTGATTGAAATATGTATTATTATTTGATTGTATGTATATAATATTTGTTCGTATCATTTAGTGTTAATGGACCTGATTGATTATATATTATAAAATTCTTTGATGTTCTATTTCATTACTGTTTGACTATTTTTATAAACATATTCAAATAAGTATCTAAAAACTAAGATCAAGACATTCTTTCATCAAATTTGTGGTAATAATTTTAATTTAAAGTAAATCCAAATTTGATATTTAAATAAACTTTATTATTCAATTAATGAGAATTTTTCAATAATTTACTAGTCTATGATTTATTCATTGAATACTTTGTTTTATTTCTTAAATAATGAGCTTATCTTATAAAAATAATATCAATTTATTGGCGTTGTTCAATAATACTATTATTATTTGTGACATATTATTTTCTTCAATTAGTCATATTTATTAATGATTATTTCTTTTGTTATACATAATCAGCAAATAATTTATACATTGTTTTAAAATAACTTTATGAATGAATTTCAATTTGGTGTTATTGAATTATTTTTAATAAGCCAACTTCAATTCTATTTGTTAATAAATAGAAAGTATTGAATAAAATGTTACAATGTTGCACGTTCAGAAGCGACTCATAAAATATCAAAATGAGTGATGAATTTGAATCACTATCTATCATATGAATATGAGGATTGAATTAGTTAATAAACACATTACTCAATACTGCAAGAATGAAGTGATTATTATTGTTCAGGTATCATTTATTATAATAGTAGAATAAATATTTATAAAGATGGTAGGGTTACTTAGTTGTTAAGATAGAGATATATTTGTTAATATGGGTATTATTAAAGAAAAAGTATTTATTTGTTATTGAGACTAAATGAAATTATGAATTAGTAATATGATGCTTATAATGATATGAACAAACAACATATCATAAGAAAATAAAGATTGAGGATCTTTAATATACATTAAAATTAAAATAAAGAAGAGATAAATATTTAAATGAAGAATAAATAAATTGATTAAATATAAAAAGACATTAGTTCAATCTAAATAAAATAATGAAGAATAGAAAAAAAAATACACTTCTCATTAATGGTGAAATATTCAAGAATAAGTAAATAGTAGATGAATAACTATTCTTAAAGCATAGAAATGTAATTAATATTGTGTGATCAGAGAATAATATAAAATAAAAGAATTACCATTGAATTAACTATTTTACTTTATTGAATAAAATTTAAGTAAACAGTAACAATTTGAATAACTATCAAACAAATCTTTTGTATTAAAAATATTATCTATTCATTCTGAGAAGAGTAAAAAAAAAGAATTGTACTTAAGAAAAAATAAAAAAAGAAAAAAACAGATAAATAAAATAATATTCCAAAGAAGACTGTTTACAGAAGAATAACATAGTACCAATTCATTGCTAGTCATACAAAATTAACAATCAATAGAAATAAGACTATCTCCAAAGAAATTAAGAAACATAAATGATAAAAGAAAAACAAGGAAAATAAAATAATTTTTAATGAATAAAACCAAAGTATTAAAAAATTAAATTGTTTTGAACAGTTTCAAACAATGAAAAAGAAATAAAAAAAATATAGAATTAATATAACACATTTAATGATTCAACAAAGAAATAATGGAAATAATTTCAGAAACAATAATTTGTAAATAAGTACAGATAAGTAATGTTGTTGAATCATCAGATAGATGAGAAATTAATAAACAAGTACAATGGGAAGTAAATTGTTGCAAACCATATTGAGCAATACTTAAATGAATATTAATTTCTGTTTGATTTTGAATATTTGAATGAAAATTTAAATAATTATTTTCTATGAAATTTAAAAGAATTGAAAGAATAGTTTTTATTCTTTGATGAATTTCAATTAATGAAGAAGACATAGTAGAAGTTATTGAAACAATAGTATTAATAATTAAAATAATTTCATTTATAGGAAAGTTTTCAAACAAAGTAGATTTATTAAGTGTTTCAAGTAACTTATCAAAAATACAAACCATTCTACGAATAATAGGAGAAGAGTCATCAGAAGAATTATTTAAGAGACTAAAAATAAAACATGCGTCTAAGTAGAAATGAAGTGAAATCATATTTTGATATAATAACGAACTAATTGTGATAGTACTTTCTTGAAGAAAAGGACATAATGTAGTTTTAGAAAATGAAGATAGAACTTGCATTAAAGAAATAATAGGATGCTTTAAATGAATAACTATTTCTTCGTTATTTATATAATAAGAAATAAAGAACGAATTAATAAAATTTTGGATTAAAATAGAAAGTTTTTTATTATATGAACATATAAAAGAAATATAATTGGAGTATGACATTGTTTGTATTGAATGATTTGATAATAATAATGAATGAACAACTTCTTTTATATGAGTATATAATATAAATAAAGATTTTTCAATTATTAGAGATGAAACTAATTCGTCAGAAATAAAAGAATTTGAAGGTGAATAAATACAATAAACTTTATCTAAAATGAAATGCATTTGTTTAAATAAAGCAATTACATCTATTTCAATTTCTTCATTTAATAATGAAATACTATAATCATGATAATTCATAACTTCTGTCATTAATGTATTTAGTGATTGGTCTTGTTCTATTACAATAGCAAGAAGTCCAATTAAACAAACACATAGTTGATTTAAACATGCATAAAAAAATGTCATTTTGTTTGTTTTAAATTGATAAAATAATTGAAGAAGAGCAAATCGAATTATTCCAATAATATTATCATGTTCAAATGAATAACAATTTTTATTAATGATTTGATGAGTATGAAATGATTGTATTAGACTATGAATTACTTTTTCAAAAATATGTAATTCTTCATCATCAGGAATTAATTTATCAGTAAATTCTGTTTTTGCAGATTTATATCCTAATGTTCTTGCATACTCCCATAATTTTTCATTTTTTAATCCCATTGAAATAACACAAACACATTTATACATTACTCCACGAGACACTCCACCAATAATTAATTGTCCTAATGAAAATAATAAAGTGGGAATATTTATTATACTTGATATATCCAATTGAACTGGTAATATTAAGTGATCTCCACAAATATTTTTTAATACAATAAAATGTTCTACAATTCTTGTATAGTTACAAATTAATGTTAATATCATATTAATTACTTTTTCTTCTTCTAAAAGATCAATAAATTCATTACATTGACAAATTATTTCCATTTTTTGATTAATACGATAATATAAAGTATCAATAACACTTAATATCATATTTAATAATAATACTTCTTGTGTTTGTTTTTTAAAGAGAATAATTGTTTCTTCAAGACAATGTAAAGCATAACTAAAATGAATAATTTTATTAAATTGGTCTTTAATAGTTAAATGACTCATTTTAAAAACATTAATAAAACGGTATGAATCAATAATTATATTAATTGAAGAAAATTTATAAATTTCATTAAATTGATTATATTTATGATTAATAGATTTTAATTCTAATAGTGAAGTTGGAATAATTAATGAACGAATAAAATGACATAATGATATTTCATAATCTTCAGTTTCATCAACAAACATTTTTTCTGTTTGTTTCATTGAGAAATAACAAGAAATTAAGTTAAAGTCTTTTTCAGAAATATCAATAATATCATGATTTGAATAATAATCAAATATTATTTTTAAATGTCTTGTTGCAAAATCATTTATTCTAAAAAGATATTGAATAACTCCATAAATATATTTAAATGAAGTAATTTGTTCTATATTATTATCCATAACTTGTTTAATTAACTTATTAATTGAATTTTCTATTGTTATATTACAAAATATTGTATTAGTCATTGAAGGAATTTGATTACCTTCAAAAAAACAAGTAAATGGTTCAATTTCACACCACATTAACTTTAATCTATAAATCTGTTTTAATGAAGATTGTTTATTAGTCATTAATGAAGATTTACAAATATGAAGAATATCAAATATAATAAAAAAATCACTCGACACAAATGTAAAACTAATCTCTTTCATTTCATTTAATTTTTGAATAATGGATTGATCAAATAAAATATGGTTTGTTAAAACTTCATTTTGAATCTTTCTAAATTTATTAATTAATTCTTTTTTCATTATAGTATTATTTATAGTATAAGCCAATTGTAAATAACAATTAATTTCAAATATATTCTTTTCAATTCCTCTTTTTTCTTTTCTAATTAATGAAATAATTTTTTCACTTCCATTTAATATTTTTAAACAATTAAGATGATATTCAAATTCAATTGATTTTTTTACAATATTTCCTAATGGTTGATATAAAATGGATATAATAATATAAATAATTTGTTTAATTTTATCATCTGACTCTTTATTTTTAATCATTTTTTCTAATGTTGGTAAATATAATGCAACTATACTTGATTGAAATTTATTACTAATTAAACTTATTGTATTAATTAAAGGAATAATTTCTAAAAGAGAAGAAGAAGAAGGAACATTACATAAACATAACCATAAGAATTTTACTTGCATTGGTGCTAACTTAATATAATCAGTAATAAGAGTTGTTAATGACATTGTATAATTTATTTCTTCAAATAAATTATTATAAAATTTGACTATTTTTTTTCTTAGTTTATTTAAAGAATAATATAATTCATTATTAATATTTAAATACATTTCATCACAAATAATTTTATAAAATAATAGTATTAAACTATCTAATTCTTCTTTATTTTGTTTTTTATTTAATTTATTAAGTGTTTTAACAACATTAAATTTTTCTATTGAACTGTAATGTTCTACAATTGTTTGAGAGAATTTTAATAATACTTCTAAATTAATTGGTTCATAATTTTTTAATTCAATTCCTAATAATTGTTTAATTGAAATAATTACTTTATTAATAACTTGTTGCTGTAATTCATCAAGACTTTGATTTTTTATAATAAAAAATATTACTGGATATATCAAATTCTCTAATTTTTCAAATTGAATTGAAAATAAGAAAGAAATATGAAATTTTAATAACATAATCCAACTTGTATCAAAAGTCCTTTGACAAAATAAGAAATGAATAATTTCAAAAATATTTGAGATAAATTCATTAATATTTAAATAATGTGATTTATTAATAATATTACAATTTTCATTAATATAATTATATTTTAATAATAAACAATAATATCTTATTATTATTAAATAATTTTTTAATCCATTTTCTTCAATTTCTTCATCTTTTGAAAATGAATTAATTAATTTCTTTAATTCTTTTCTTAATATAAATATAACTCTTTTTATAGGAAATATATATTTTAATATTTTAGTAACTCCATACATTATTTTATGAACAAAAATTGGTAAATTGACGTATTGTTGAATTTCTGTTAATTCATTAATAATTGATGTACTATTTAAGTTTAATTCATTTGTTATAAATTCAAATTGGGTTGATGATTTTGTAATAAATGTTTGATAACATGAAATAATAGAAATAATATCCATTATTTCTTGATCTTCTTGAAGACATAGTCTAAATGTATTATCAAATCCATATAAATTAAGTAATACATCTATAGTATTTTTTGTTAAAAACTTCTCTAATAACAAATTACTATTTATTTCTTTTGTTGGTTTAATACTTTCAATATCAAACATAAAAAGTGGTTTAAAGTCAATAGGAAAACTCATTGTTGGTAATTTATATGCCCATTTAATAAATTTAGTAATTGGATATATATTCTTTTTTGGTTCATATAATACAAAATAATCTAAGTATCCTTCTATCACATGTATAAGTGGTTTATATTTCTTTTGGAATGTAAATAAAATTACTTGTGATGGTTCCATATGATGAACTAAACTTTCAATTTCTGATCGAACTGATAATAATTTTTGTGAAAGAATTGAATAAAAACTACGAAGAATACTTGAAAAGAAACTTAAACATGTTGGTGCCATATGTTCTGAAACAATATTATAATATTTTGGAAATGTTGGAATTGAAATAAAATAAATGTATTGTTTAAATACCTCTATTGCATTTGTTGTTATTTGTTTATATTGAGTATCAGCTAAGTCAAAGAAAAAAATAAAACAATGTTCTGTACAATTAACGATTTTCTCTTTAAATTTAACAAATTCTTCTTTTGTTATTTTCTTTTTACCATTTCCTCTAAAACATGTTATAATATTAAAAGATTCTCTTAATAAAACAAAAATTTCATTAAATCTATAATCTAATGTAATTGTACAACATGAGTCTACTGATGATATTGTAGAATCTGTTGAAAAAAGTTTTTGTGAACAAATTGAATGAAGTGATTGAAAAAATGAAGATGAACCAGATGAATGACATTGTGAACTAACTAATCCAAAACTTTCAAATGGAGTAGAATATAATGACTGCTGTAATGAATTAAGAATTTTTTGAAGTTCATGAATAGGTTCTTTAATAATTTTTAATGAAATGTTACCACTTTTACTAAATATTTTAATTGATTTAATTTGTTTTTCAATACTTAAAGGATATTTTGTTATTTCATTTGTTTGATTTTGAAGAATAAAACATTGACACATTTTTGATACAATAATACTTTTACTAATAATTTCTTCTAATTTTTCAATTAAACTTTCATTTAAAAATAATGAAATTTTGTTTTTAGTTTCATTAATACAATAATGAATCATATCTGTTTGAGGTGTAAATGAATTACTTATTTCCATTTGAGATTCATAAACAAATTGTACCATTTCATGTATTGTTTTAAATTTTCTTGTTTCTAATAAATCAAAAAAAATAGTAATTTCTTTTGATACTGATGGAAATATACAAAACTTTTTTTGAAAATAAGAATTTTTTAAATAAGAAATCATTTGCATTGGCTCATAGTTGTGATATACACCTCCATCTTTACTATTTCTAATAAAAGAAGAAAGATATTTCATACATTGTTGACATTCAGAAAAAATACAAACAATATTATTTTGATATGCAAATTTTTGAGTTTCTATCCCAAATGAAAATATTGGAATGAAAAGAGAAGATTCAATCATAATTTCGGTGATACTTTGTTTGATATTTTTAATTTGGTTATGAACCATTACTTTGGTTGTATTTCTTGATCCCATCATATTTACCATTTGACTTATAACATTAATACTATTCTCAAAATGAACATCTTTTGTATCATATTGAACAACCATGGAAATAATGGATTGAAATTTCTTTTGCATTAATGAAACTTTTTTCATCCTTTCAATAATATCATAAATTGAAGTATCAATATTAAGTTGATCAATCTCTTCAACTATCATAAAGAAATCACTAACAGTATGTTTAAAAGTTTCAAATGAAACTGATGGAATTAATTCAACAATATCTTTTATTATAGATTTTATTGAAAATGAAATAAATAATAATTCATTCTTATACTTCTCAAGAAATATAAATATCTCTTGTGTTGTATGACTTTTATGAAGTAAGTCAGTCATTAATTTCATTGTTTGTTGAAGTAATGGAAATAACTTATTACAAAAAGATGAAATATTCCACTGACTTGTAAAATAATAGAATGAAATGAGAGAAATACAATTAATATAGTATTGTATTAAAAAGATAAAGTCATTAATGTCTATTAGAGTTAAATTACTTTTATTCTTTTGAATACGCTGTATAATATTGTCTAAACGAATTGCAAAAAATTGTGAAGTAACAAGAAATATTTTCTGTAGTTTTGAATAGGAAACGACATATTTAAAATGCTTCATTATTATTAATCTAATTTTATCAATAATCATATTTGGTTTATTTTCTAGCTCTATTTCTTCCTTTTTAATTTCTTCATTAAGGCTAATAAATTCTTGGACAATTATTTTACTTCTTTCATTATTTTCTTGTAACGTAGACAAAACAGTAAATGTTTCAATTGTTTTATTGATAACTTCTTTCATATGTTTAAATTCTAGCAATAATAACTCAACTTCTTCATTAACAAATATAATATTATCATATAACTTAATGATTTCACTCATATAATATAATCCCATTCCTGTAATAGGCATCTTGATTGTCATAACCTCTTGAATATAACTGACATATTCTCTACTCTTTTCTTCATTCATAGTTTGGTAAATCTCCTCTAATACTAACAATGAACCTGAAGTATTCAGCCCAACTTGAGTTATTTCTTTTTCTTTTTTTGTTAACTCAATGAGCTGACCAACCATAGGTATAATTTTATTTAAAACTTTTTTATCAGTCTTTTTCATGACTGTACCTATTGCATTGAGAACATTAAGCTGTAGTACAATATTATCCTTAAATTCATTAAAAACATCTTCTTCTTTAGTTGGTTGCAACATGTGTTGCATGTGAACTAAATATGATTGAACCTCTAAAAATACTTCTCAGCCAAGACATAGTGATAAGAATATAACTATATTTTTATTATAATTCTATGATTTAAAGTTTTTATGATTCAAAAAAATTACAAAAAATTCATTGTTTGTTCTTGTCATTTGTGACGAAAAGACAACAAGAGAAATAAGGAAGTTTTGATGAAGAGAGTAGTTAATTAAAAATTGAGATGAAAAGAAAAAGAGAAAATGAAAGCCTATATGAAAGGGAAATTGTTATGGCACTATGTGAAACAAAAGGAAAAGAAATAGGAGTATGTTGGTTTGAATGTGGTTCTAACACTGTTGGACTATGTCAATACCTAGACACAAACACATACATACAAACACTAATCCTTATTAACATGTATTCTCCAACACAAATAATTATCTCCAAAACTCAAGAAAAGAGTGAATTAACTCAACTTCTTAAAAGAAATAGAAATAAAATTGTTTTTCTTCCAAGAAGTTCATTTAATGAAAATGAAGGTGTAACGTTATCAGAAAGACTATTTGTTGGAAGTTGTTGTGATTTACTTAGAAGGGACTTAACAAAAAGATATTTATGTGCTGCATCATTTAATGCTTTAATTCAAAAAGTTGAAAAGTCTGCATTTATTATTCAGCCAAGTGCATTATATGGAAAATACATTCCTCTGTCTAATAAAATAAGAATTGATGTTCAAACTGCTCAACAATTGGAATTAATTACAAACAATTTAGATGCAAAGAAAACAGGATCGTTATTTGCTGTTATTAATACAACACTAACAAATAATGGAAGAAAAACATTAATTGATAACATCCTGCAACCCCCCTGTGATATTGAAACAATACTTGAAAGACAAAATTGTGTTGAGTTCTTTCTTAGAAATTCAGAATTATACTATCGTTCAATTGAATTTCTTAAACAACTCCCTGACATTGATAAAATCATTACATCAATTCTTCAACTAAATAGAATTGATTCTATCCGTCCAACAACCCTTCAGTCAATCTTAAAAAATATGTGTGAATTATATAAGTTATTATATACAATTCCTCAATTCCAAAAGGGTTTTGAACTTCACACAAATGCTCCACTTCTTATTACAACAATGAGAAGTATATTAGATGATCCAGAAATTAATGAATTAAAGTTAATTCTAGAAAGTGTTATGAATCCAACAATAATTCTTTCAAAAAATACAATGAATAAAATTTGTTTTGTAATGAAACAAAATATTAATCCATATCTCGACGTTTCCCAACAAGTTTTTACAGAAACACTGGAAAAAATTCATACCTCTGCTGAAGAAGCATCAGCTCTCGGGTTGATATTAAAAACTACACAAACAGGATTCTCTTATATTTTCAAAGGTACAAAACAAAATATTCCTGAAGGATGTTGTAGAGTTGTTAAATTAACTGATAATAAATATTCTGTCAATACACCAGAAATGATTTCCTTAAATAATAAATTCCTTTCTATCAAAAATGATATTATTAAATTATCAATTGGGATGATCTCAGAAAAGTCTGAAGAATTAAAAAAAAGAATCAACGTTCTTAACAAAATGGCTGAAATGATTGGAGTATTGGATATGATCATTTGTTTTGTTACTTACTCATCAACAAACTCAACAATTTGTAAACCAAAATTTAATGACACTCGTTCAATTATTATCAAACAAGGAAAACATCCAATTTTACAAACATCTATTTCTCAGTTTATTCCTAATGATACTTATATTGATGATACTTCTCGTTTTTGTTTAATTAATGGACCAAATATGGGAGGAAAATCAACCTATATTAGACAAATAGCATTATTAATGATTTTGAGTCATATGGGATGTTTTATCCCTGCAAAAGCTGCTTCAATACGTCCATTAACAAACATCTTATCAAGGTTATCTACTGATGATTCAATAGAATTAAATCAATCCTCATTTATGAAAGAAATGGAAGAAGTTAAAGAGATTATTGAATTAATGAATGACAGTTCCTTAATTCTTATTGATGAGTTAGGAAGAGGAACAGGGATTATTGATGGTGTTTCTATTTCATGGGCTGTTAGTGAAGAAATCATTCTTAAAAGCTTATCAACATGCCTTTTTGTTTCTCATTTCCCTGAATTAAACAACTTAGAAAGACTATATCCTCATGTTGTACGTCAATTTCATATGGAAGTTGTATTGAACGATCATGGACTATGTCCAAAATACAAATTAACAGAAGGGTTTGATGAGAATGACTACTATGGAATTCAAATTGCAGAAATGGCTGGATTTCCTCTTTCTATCATCCAAAACGCAATTGAAATCAAAAAGAATATTCAAAAAGATACCACCCAACAATTTAATACAGCAAAGTATGACCTTGGTCAAAAGTTAATTGCTCTAAAAGATAGCCAGCTTGATCAATCCAATTTACGTGCGTATTTAAAATATCTGAAACAAATGTTTCTTGAAGAATAACGTATTATTCTTAATTGTGTTACTAATTGTTTTTTTATTCAAATTATTTAGAAACAAAACCCAAATAATTAAAATATTTATTAATTTAAGGATTTTTAGTCATTAATAAAATCTTCCATAGAGTTATTTTTATATTTCTAGAAGATAAAAAAAAGTCATACTTCTATAAATAACTAAGTACTAAAAAATAATATTAATATTAGAAAATTAAAATATTCTAAGAGATATTTAATAGGACGTTGTCTCGTGCTTGAGAAACAAATAACAAATACCATAAATTCTATGCGAGCTTAATTACTTTAATGATAAAATAGTGTGAAGAAACTATCTTTAATGGAAGAAATAGAAAAGGTTTTTGTATCTTATTTTCTATTTTTAATTTGAAAACTATTGTCTCATATAATGTTCTTTTCCCTTATATTATCCTCGATCTATGTCACAATTAGGAAATATA